GCAGCTAAGGCTAGTCCAGGTGGACTCCCTGACCGTACCACGTTATGGAGGGAGTCCAGGATATAAAGGGTCGAAAATCGGACACAAAATTTTGTATCTAAAATTGTCATCACTTTTACCTATTCCATGAAGCTAATTTCACGTCTGTAACTCCTATGTGTCCTTATCTCCACAGCTGGTGCATTAAGATATTTGACACATCACCACAAAAGATAAAAACAGGAAACTAAACTCGGAAGTAACATTAACTTGGCATTATTGTGGACTGTTTTCAGCCATCCTCCAGAGCACTTTGTACAGTGTGCGCATGCAACTATTCGGTGTAGGAAATTCCAAGCTGCGTACACATACATGAAGCACACACAACATGGTTCTACGCCCCAAGTACCATTGATCTCCATGCAGAGTGCACACGACATTGGGCCAGGGGCGTGCGTTGGTGACGGTTGGCTAGTTACCTATATATGCAAACTGAGCCTACTACTACGGGGAAGCTAGAATTTGTACAAATCCTAGCGATTTTTTCATAACTTGCATTACAAGCATTTGTATTATGTGTCCACAGGTGGACTTAAAATAGACTGACAAAAGGTGTCCACAAAATTTGATGAAAGTTAAAGGACTCCCGTCAGTGGTTCCCAGCTTCTCTGTGTTGAGGGGGAGGGGGCATTATCCAAAAAGGCTTTAGCAGTTTTTTGTTGCTAGCAATTTACTCATATCTGTTGATTTGTCCCATTTTAAGTTATACCGAATACATTTTTTTTTTAGAAGTGGAGAACTTTTCCAGAACACGCAAGCACAAATAAGTATTTTTTAATGAACTAGACTGATATGAGAGTCATAAATGGCAATTAAAAATCATATCTTGGGCCTTAATTAAAAATTAAAAATCCCATATTTTGAGATTTAGTGAGTATTTTAAAATGACACATTCTTGTGGGGATCTATCGTCTGATAACCAGACAGAGCTTCACTCTCCCAAAATAAGCCAATGAATTTTAAGCCCACTGACATAAAATGTTCAGCAACATTCCTTCACTAACAAAAAACGTTGACAAAAATATCGGAAGGCACTTATGATTACAGAGGGCTCCAAACAATTAGACATGCAAGTTTCCAGCTGTTTGATGTAGCCTAGCCTACGTGAGGCTGAGGCTTAAGACAGCTTCGCCTTCTCCCCAACCAAGGCCCCCCAAATTGTGTAAATTAGGAGAATTTTTTTTTAAAGTCGACACAGTCTAGCTATCTGTCTGTTGCTCTAAATTTAACTTTTCACTGCCAATTACAAATTCAGTCTGCTTATTGTACGTTTGATTTATGAATAAAAAAAGGAAAGGCCAATCAACAATACAATTTGTGCGGGATCGTTGTTTACCGTACGTGCGTGCCCCAGCAGTGCCTTTGCATACTGTGTTCCCGATTAGTATAGCATTGCTCTCGCCTGCTCATCACAATCATCATGCCTGCAATGTTATCCTCTTTTTTATTCCTCATTTATCAAGATAAGTTACTGTTCAATTTCAGAAAAGTCAGCTCTCTACAATATTGCGTATTTATACTTCTTTAATCAATAAAAATATACAAACAAATTAGACATGTTAAACACTTCAATAAGCAATCATTGACAAAATTATTCCAATACAAGAACCCTGCATATTAAAAAGCCCTGCTATGCTGACCGAGGTTATTTTTATAAAATAACAGGTTATTTCGCAAATTTATGTTTATAAACCCAAATATAAAGCAGAACAAAATATTTTTAGGGGCAACCAATAGGGGGTTATTAGTCTGTCTGAGGCCCATGATCCGACAAAAACGGAACTACATTTTAATATCGGCAGGTGGGTTTAAGCCGGGTACCTGTCATGGCCTCCGTGTAGCAGGCGTACAACAGACCTTCACTGAAAATTGTGCACGCACACAGGTCATATTCCTGTATGTGCGTCCACTTTGCAACTGGAGAACGGATGAATTGCATCTATAACTGTGAAAAACAGCAACGCTTTGTCTCAGTGTATTAAATTCCATTTGGCAGTCCAGGTTTGTTCTGAAATTCCTTGACCCCCCAGACGCATATGGGCTAGCAGTCATGGCAGTGAGCAGTTTAGGCCTGGGTAAACAGGAACTAGCCGTCGCATCTGATCTCCTGGTGCTGTATTTGCACGATGTAGGTCACGGTTTAGAGTCACAAACTTGACGGCATGATGATTGGAGCTGTTAACGTCAATGTGCCCAAAAGTATGAAGTTAAAAAATTAGCTGCAAATTTCTCGAAAAGTAGGAGGTAAGATTACGTAGTGAAGGATTGATTTAGAAGCGGAGAGGGTATGGCATACAACGAGCAACCCAATCGTGAAAATGCTTTCATTTTGAAGCGCTTCAAAAAGTCAACAAACATTTGGTATATGGGCATGTAAATGTGGGGGAGTGCAGCGTACCATAGGCCACATTAAAGGGGCTAGGGCTAGGCCCAAGTTTAACTTTAAGGCGTACCTGACAATGCCCGCGCCCAGCTAGGCGCCTAAGACGTCCTCTCCATCTGACCAGAACAACTAAAATCAGCTTCATATTCCCATGTTTAAGTTGTCCACGCCATTTCAATGGTTACCAGGAGACTCCAAGACCAAGAAAAACGCCCTTTTTTAGCGATTTATGTGTAGATTGAAACTGAGTGAAGGAAAACCCTCAAGTTACATGCCTTCGTGACAAAACGCTATGAAAAGCGCCCTCTGTAGATGACACAAAGAGCGCCCTCTATTGATTCAATAAATAGCGCCCTCTGTTGAAAGATAGACAGCGCCCTCTACTGGGCTGATGAGTCGAGTTCTAGCACTACTTTAGATTAATAGCGCCCTCTATTTATAAAGTGAATAGCGCCCTCAACAAACCTCTTGCAGAGAGCTAGAGGTACACGGGCAAACAATCATAATAGGGCGCCCTCTAGTAAATACAGAATTTCGTCGGAAAAAGTTATAGCGCCCTCTGCACAGTGGATTAACTTCAAGAAATAACAATAATTGCGCCCTCTAGAGCTTTGTTAAAAAGGTGATTGCAACACGCGACTTAATATTTTGTTTTATTTACAGCACCCTCCTCAAACCCAGTGGATTCCATAAACAAACGAAAGCAATCAAAACAAGCGAACATAGAGATAATAATGACCCAAGCTTCCCTTTGAACCACGTCTGCACTAGTTCAGCTAATCCAAGCAGATAAACCCCATAATGTGCCGAGTGGACAAATAAATAGCAAGTATGAAATAATGAACAGAAAAGTTCATTGTGTTGACAGTTGCAACTTTGGGTTGACAGTTGCAACTGAAACAACATGCTCGTATTTTATTTCCATGAGTGATTTGACACATATGTGGCTATTTAAGGTGTTACACTGGTATACAGACACAAAGGCAGAATTAGCAATTATGGTGCAACATGACTTTTTTAAGGGGGGGGTTGAAGAAGACTAGCGCAGACTACTCAAGTTGTACTGAAGTCTCTCTCGTACATAGCTTCATATAGTTCGGAATCTCACAGCATTGCTAACCCTACAATTAGTGCGGTGTGCTTTTAAGTAACATTATAAATTCTGCGTAAATACAGTGAACAGTTGTTATTTTCTGACTGGTCTAACAATTATATTCTCTTCTTTCAAATTCGGTTTCAAGAATATTGTCCCCCCTCCCATTCTTTAAATTTATCAAATTAATGTTCCAATTATTGTCTATTTTCTTATGACATCAATTTCATGACCCCTTAATATCGTGAACTTGGCCCTATGTGATTCCCAAACAAAAGTACAGTTATACATGTACTTCTGCAGTCTACCACAGCTTGAGATATTTCTATTTATATGCCACTACAACACTATCACATATCATGACATCGGTTATCTATACATAGTCGTCCATGGCACATTCCACAGAGCTTGCTGTCGATCTGCTGTCAGCTTGTCAATAAAACCGTCCAAAATGTTCTGTTTAAATACACATAAAATACTGCGCCAAAACGTAGGAAAAAAATAAATAAAATTCAAGAATATGTTTCCAATTGCAAGAGGGGATGGCTCTATGGAAATGTACCACGTACGTTAGACGGACTATAATACATTATATACATACAAATAGCTGCATGGAACATGCGTCTACTACACGTTGGATTTTCGGAATGGAAGATCATTGTTTTCCTACGTCAGTCGAGGGAGAGATCAGTATTCATCAAAGTATGTCTGTTAAGCGATACAAAAATAAACCTTTGGTTAAATTTTTATACAGAGCATTCAAATATATTTTCATTTCACTCAAATCCAACGGTATGCGTCTCCACATTTTCGTTTACAATTTCCATGGACGTAATTAAATGACTGTAAACATAATATTTGGCCTTTTCGGTATATTCTGTACTACATTTAAAATGCATTTGCTTTGATATCTATGACATGGATTCACATTCACTTTGGACGTAATGATTAATTACCGATATTATTTAATGTTTAATTTAAACTCATTATACATGCAATATATTAACACAAAAATATACATAAATTATTTCCAACTGTGACTTTTTTGTTATGACTGATGTCTCCTATGACCTTTGCCCTTCGAATAAATACTAGTCTGTCAGTTTGTGCCACTCGGCCATTTGCTTTCTAGGATTGCGAATGATGTCAGTCCAGTGCTGAGCCTCGCTTTCACCTGCCTTGCTACCGATAACGAGGCGCCCAATGATCTCATTCTTCATGACTCGGTCGTGGTCCAGAACCTGAGAATGAAATGTTCAGATAAATATTTTTTAGTCTTAAAACGTTGTTCCTCTCGCAGTAGTCGTGGCTGGTTTTATTTTTCAGGTTGTCATTCAAAAAAATTGGAAATTTCAACTGTGTTTTGGATTTCGTTGACATGCCTTCCATCGTTCTGCGATTTCATCTTTCAAATATATTTATTTCTTAAAAACCAATTTTGGAGAACCAAATCTGATATCAAGGCCCGTAAACTACTGTATTGGTGCTTGTTAAAGATGGAATATTTCTGCAATGTGTCGGTGAGGGTACTTGAAAGCGCAGCAGTGTTATACTGAGGGTTCATTTCGTCGATCGTTGACGCGTTTTCTGGCTTCCTTGTTTGGAATGCGTAATTATGTTTCAGTGCTTTTGGAACTGATTGAGTCTAGAACAATGAATTAACGAAAAGATACGCATAATAAAAAAGACCGGTGTTTTACTCGAGTGCAACTTATTCTACACTGTAGGCGACAGGAGACACTCATGTATGGAAATCTCATCAAGTTTCATCTAACATATGTTTCGTGATGTGGTTTCAGGAAAATTGCTGTTTCACCTGAAACTCCAGGCTGACGTTCTCAAGGCCCTCTAACGGTACATCGAAGAGGAAAGACTCATTGAAGACTGGATTGAGCGTTCGTTTCTTCAGACGTGTCTTCTTCTTGGCCAAACGGCTGTTGTTATACATCAGGTAAATCTTCACGTACGGATCTAAGTATAACAGGTCAAAGGTTACGGTTAGTTGAAGTAGCTGTCTGGTCTTATGAAACTGAGTTTCAACTGACCTTTTACCGCTAGCTTGTCAGTAGACTGGTTCCTGTCCAGTATTGGCCTGACAAAATCTCAAATATTCAGCATCCAGGACTAAACGCACACGTTAAACCGCTGCTAGCTACCGTTCCCTATATAATAGAGACGGGGACCAGCCCAGCTTGTCAGTCAAAATGCAGATTAAGCTTGAAAATGTCAAACGTGACAGGTAATTATTGGCACAGGATTTCTTTGGTTAGTATTAGTAAAATTCGTTTTAGAGGTTGTTGTAGATGAGGGTGGGCAGTCCAGACGGATTGGAGCATTGCTGATTTGATCGAGACAGGATCAATCTTTTAGGTGGTATTCACTGTATTTTTACCTGAGAGTCCGGTGACGTCCATCTTGGGCAGATTTTTTGCCTTCAGTACAACCACAGTCAGCTTGTTGGCCGCAGGCTGGTAACACAGAGACGTCAGGAGTTCACCTCGACCCTGGGACTTGGAGATCTTGAAGACAAGGGGAGCAAAACCGTACAGAAGGGTGGGGCGAGAAGTCGCAGGAGGGTTTTAGAAGGAAAGAAATCAGAAGAGAAAAGAAGATTGGAAAAGAAAACACAAATTGTTTGATTAATGCCCTCTTGAAATTCAACTGATCATTTAGACAAAGATATTTGGTAAATGAAACTAGACCACAAAAGTCAGTTGTGCATATAGAAACTTTATCTAAATTCAAAGATAAAAAAGCTGAAAATAAACTGCACCCCCTTCTTTTGTCTAAAATTTCTGTGGAAGAAATCACTGGTTAGCACTAAAATTAAAACATGAAAACTGTTTTTCAGTGGTTTTATTTTCACATGTAGCTCAACTTTTAATATTTCAAGTAATTGCTTTCAACACTTCGTATCCTGTTCCACCAATGTTCTCAACTTACAGTTTTCTAATCAAAAGCCACTTTCCCCCCAATAATATCCAACCTATATTCTGTCCGCCCATCGTCAGTGAGACAGCTTGCAGTATCAATATTGGGCAACGGCAGCTGAAATACACAGCGGCATTACAAATCCTGAGAGAAATTTAGGGACATCGCTGTGAGCAAGGGAACCTAAAGGATCAACATCGTTTACGAGAAATTCATGGTATTCAAAGAGCACAATGAAGGAGACTTCAAAGTAAATGGTCTGCTTACAGTGCAACATGAGAGGCGGACAGGTGGAAACACAGAAGGTTTAAATCCATTTGATTGAGTCAGATAGGGATGATTAAACGTTACATCATGTATGTGCCACATGTCCAGTGATACTGTGGAGTCCTGACTGGTAGCAGGTTATTGCCATAATTGTCGCATGGCGGCTCAGGATTCACATGAGTGAGGAACTTCTTTTAAACGAGTTTTAACCCAGACGTCAATTTGACAGCTGCAGTCTAAAGGTTGCCAGTTATTAATATGAAGAAAGATTGATACCAGACTATATTCAAGAACAGCTTCTTCTGAGACCGTGTACAAATTGTTTTTCATGACGGCTACGGATGGTCATTTCATTATGGAAACAGCACAAGCCTACAGCCATGTCTACAATTGCCTGACGCGGCTTACGCGTCATCATCAGTGACATCATTGGCATTCTCAGTGCATAAGGAAACACAAGACCACTGCATCCATTCTCTGTTTGATGTCAGACTCGATGAACCTGACCTTAAAGATACAACCATGGCTGCAATGAAGGTCTTTTTGTGACGTAGGCATACGTATGCCTTTCCTTAAAGATTAAATTTAGGCCGGGTGCGGAATTGATCGCGTATCTAATTGCCGCCTCGTACGCACCAATCTCTGGATGGAGATGCTCTCTTTCTGATGGTCAAATTATTGATTATTAACCGAAGAGGCAACCACCATCTTACAAAAAGGTCAACTAGCTGACAAGGAAACCCAAAAAGATGAAAAATTACAGACATTAATCTAGCCACGAAGCGGGGAACATTCCAGTCTGCAATGATGGCTACTCCGCGTTTTAATCGTCAACCACCAATGTACAGTTGTACAGACAAACTATCCTTCAAGAAGTACTCAGATATCTGGCGAAAATCATCGTGAATTTCAACTGACTGTAGATTTTGTGTTAAATAAGAAAACATTTTGGGCCATAGAAATGTCAAAATAAAACGACATGACACATTGTGATATAATGCAAGTTGAATGGTTGATGAAGCAATGACATTTGGAGAAGATACCACCTTGCAAATCCACAGATTAAGTCTTTATAAAGGTCGAAGGTAACCCATTTTAATGCCAGTATATTTCGTGCCCTGGGGAATTCCACTCCCACCCCACGGGTGCCTCAACATCACTGGTCGGTGAAGGGAAATAGTCAATACTTCAACGCGCCGGGGACACGCAGAGTCACATTCTCCTTAATTGTAGACGCGGTATTCCACGCACGCGTCGGCGACTGTCCGTGACGTCGGCCAGCGAAAGATGAACGGGAAAACCTCCCTGAGTTTAGCCACGCTGTTTGCTCGACTGGCGTCTTGGTATCATCTACACTAAAACCGCACAGCATCAATGGCACCGTCTCGTATGGCCATCTCATTGCTCCCGGCATGGACGCTGTTGACAAATGCTTAATGTGCTGTCTCCTCCACTAAATATCTATCTCAATTAAGACCGATTCGACAAGCGGGGGAGGGGGTTAATTTGTCCTGAGATTTCTTCTTGTGGCGAAGATGTACTCCAATAACTAATGCATTCTGAAGCACAAAATTAATAAGACAGTGCACCCCAGGAATATTAAAAATGATGTATTCTGAATGCAGCAGCAACATCAAAATGTTCTCCCTCTGCTTTGTGCAAATAGAAGGAATATACACATTGCATTTTCGAAATGTTTGAAAATGAAATATATCACCTTGACTGCAAGAGAGAGGTTGTAGCAGGACCAGCTACAAAACAGCAGACGGGCAGTTGAATAATCTTAAAGAAACTACGGCTTGATCACCTGACGGTACATACCTTAGAGTGTATTTTGCACATCAAATGAATATTTCGGTCGGTCTTTTACGCATAAGCTCCATCACTTTATTATGTTTCACTGAGAATGACCAAGAAAACATGAATTTGATTAATGATCGGCTCACACACTTATGAAATCAAGTCTCTTTGGTTAAAACATCACGAGAGGTACTTCCCCCTTCCAACCCTTAGAAATAAACGCTTGCTGCCTGTCTCCATGACTTTACCACTTCCTGACGACTAAACAAGAGAAAAACAAAGTACTATTATTCCCAACGCAGCTTGTAAATAAGCAATTGTAGTGTCGACATACAAACTGAAAAAAAACCTGACTGAGTGGGTACGAAATGAATTGTAATCAGATCTGCGATTATTGTCGAGATGAAGTCTTAAATTCAAACCTCATATCGTGTAATAGCAGACGAAAACAGTATTCCTAAATTGTTCACATTGAAAACGTCTGTTGCGTTGGTAATGTATACACAGCTCAGAACATGAACATGAGACAAGGTATCAAAGCAAAACAACGCAGTGGGAAAAATTGGAAGGAATCTTGTCCCAAACGATCCACGGCTCCATTCCATGACAACAAGCGAAGTGTGGGAGGCAGCATGTTTTCCTAACAGCTTTCCAATCCCGCGGGGGATGAAATTGGTGGCCAATAAAAACAACTCGCGACCACGGATGGCGGGAAAAATTCTCGGGCCATACACCATTACCGATGCAAAGGCTGATCCTTATGGATCGACGCTTCTGTTGTCATGGTAACCTCAGATGGCATCTGATTACGTGTTCACTTGGCTGCATACACGGGACAGAACTCCGTCGAGAATACTTAGATGTTAGGGTTTAAATTACATGGCAACCATATTCAAACAAGGAAAAAAATCTACCATCAGCGAGAACTATATAGCCTTATAGGTCGACCTCATGACGCAAGATGCTAGGTATCAATATTCTTGCGATTGTTTAAAGTTGGGTAAATTTCTGGAGCAGTCGAACAAAAGTATAACACACATCGATAATCCATATTCCACGTGTACATGTTTAAGACAGAATTCAGTAATGATGAGGCTAAGTAGTGGTACAGGTCATGACACTAAATGACGAAAGGGACAACTTGAGGACAATGGTCGTGATGGCACTATCTTTGACAATTCAGATAGCGGGAACAAGGACGGTATAATGACAGTGTCGACAACTGTGTCAAAGATTGGACAGTAACAATAACAGACACGTGACAAGGACAGCTGTACTGCGAGTTTAGAATGCAAAAAAGATACCCAAAGGGTCCAACCTTTACATAATCATGAGATTTATATATGACTTAAAAACGATTATCACAAAACTAATCACTCCACATACAAACATTTTTCTCGCGGGACAATAAACACTGGACACGTACAAACGGATCAAGCCGCTGAATCGTGAGGGAAGAATTAACCCTGATATCGGCGAAGTAAACCACCAAGTCACGCTATACTCTCCTTCTTGCAATGATACCTCAGTACACCAACAAGACATATTTGCAAAGTGTCCCCCATCTCCACAATTAATTGTTCACATAATTTACATTGACTGAAACTTTATCCGTTGTAAACTAGTTCTAAATGGGCTGGTCACTGGGAAAAAAAGAAAAACCCCGATTTCGGTTTCATTTGAGTTTTAGTATTAGGTATTGTTACATGTATTTCAGCGAATAAACAGGAAACAGTCATTATTGTTTGTTGTATGGGGAAAGTTATTTTTTACAGGTACTATAGAGATGAAAGCTGTTAGCGAAATCAGTCACGTCATTCATGAAGCAAGCATGCCAACTACCTTTGTGTAGCACCATATGGTATAACTGAAGTGATACAACACTCAAGACGCGGCCTTGCAGATTAAATCTAATGCCCAGTCTCTCAAGACGATGTTCAGGTTTCTGCTCGGATGAACTAAGAACCCATCTCACCCTGTGTTTTATCTATTCTGGCTGCTGGGGGTAAAAGGACTGGTACCTCGAAGGGCCCCCCGCTCCCTGTCTCCTGAACTGAAATGTCAGACAGCCGTCATTAATCCAGAGTAATCAGAGGAAGGCTGGACACCGATTCGTCTGGCCGCGGACTGTGTGACAAACAACTGCATGCATCTTATGAACCTCCCTGTGACATTTTCGATCTACAGCATGGAGAAAGATTTGTCGGGTACTAGTTCAGAAAATATGCACACTTTTACTTGTTTACCTTAGGGTGTGACGTCACTATAAAGTTCTGTTGACTATATAGCGAGCACTTTGCTCTACGTTATTACATTGCAGGCCTTAGAGTATGTATCAAAAAGATGACGATGTCTTGCAAGACACGCATTCTTGCATTAATGCAGTACTTGGCTTGCTCAAAAGAGTTTCAATGCAGAACTTGGATTTCCGTTTTAATCAACTAACCCTCTCAAGACCTTTTCTTTTTCACACAGAAATCTAAAGAGAAAGTCAAGCTTAGAAATCGAGCCTCGATCCCAATTATCGTGCTAAATATCAATGCCACACTTTGGGTAAGAGCGAAAGAATTGAGAAAAGAAAGCCTACACTCAGCCAAGCATGACATGTTTTCAATGCAAATTAGGAGAAGCAGTTGTTCTTAGCCCAGTCTTCCTTAGTGCTTTCAATCTTAAACTGAATCGGTAAAACTAAGAACTTGATTCAATCGATCATGGTCTTTGGACTTAGTCTTAATGCACCAACGGCGAAACGATTCCCATCATGTCGTTTCATATAATCGTGCACAGCCAAAGGAATCCGGTACTGATGAGGCAGGAGAATCGTCATCTTGTGGTTGCAACTGTCCACAAAAACAAGTCAGATTTCTCGCCGTTAAAATTTCATTACGTGTCAATGGCGTATGTAGGCTGTTCAATTCATGCATAAGTCCAACCTGTCCATATCAAATCCAAACCAGAGCTCATATTTGTGCTGTCCCTCTCAATCAAAAACGTAAGAGACTGATTTGTTTTGAGAAAACTGTTCCTGCAAATTTCGGTGATGGCAGACTATAATGACATGATGAAAGCTTTTCCTTGTCAACAGCTCTGTGAGGATCAACTGTACTTTCAATAGGATAAAACCAGTTGCACCTATCTCCGCTCCTTCAAAAGTTCAAGCAAGCTACGGCCCAGTACGGGATTCTTAAATCCAGATTCACTTAGATACGTTATGCCCTAGAAAGTTTGGGCTGAGTGCCTTAAATCACATTTTCTCATCAAACTTTTCTAATTAAATATACTACAGATATATCGTGTTAGGGTAACACATTCTCTAATAGGTATGTGCGACTTCTTAGACTCGGTAATTAATACAATGGATTTAGCGGCTTCCCATAAGTCTGATGTTCACCACGTCTATTACTAAGATCAAGACTACTCCCCACGTTACTCACCTTTGGATGTCTCGGTTTGACCTCCCGCGTTAAGGTCACTGGCTTCTCGCTCAGGTCAATGTTAGCCAATGGCACGACTACTTCGCCGATGACGTCATCCCTGGAGAACCGGTCGAAGCTCATGATGACAAAGTGCAGCGTCACGCCTTGCAGCTGGTTATAAGCCAAGCCGTAGAAGGTGAAGGTCTCCTCGTAGACTGGCTCCAAAGTCTTCCTCATCACCCTCGTTTTGACTTTGTGCTTCTTCTCTGGGAGGAGACAGAGCTTGATGTAAGGATCCGAGGTGCCGCTTTGTGGATCCTTGACTGGTAGCCCCTGCGCCTGGTGGATGGTCACGGTGAACACACCCTTATCTGTGCGGTACTCCACTGTGAAGGTGATCTGTCCAAGTTGGGTCAGGTCTTCCGTGGAGCTCTGCAGCTTGTTGTCCCCCTGCCAGCCTGATTCGCTCTTCAGCTCTCCACCTTCTGAGTAGCAATCCTTATTGAAGGTTCCCGGGTCCATCCCACCGCTGCCACCACCGGTCGTGCTGTACGTCTTCATTAGGGCTTTCTTTTCATGCGACAGCGGCGAGACCGGGGACAGGGTGCCAGGCGGGAAGCTCTTGGATGGACCCAGGGTAGGCATGACCTTCCCATGTAAGGACTCTGGGGAGGATAACTCCGGACTACTGATCGGCTTGCTGGTAGGCCGAGCGTAGAAGGTACGGTTACCTTTCTCCACTGTACCGCCATGGAAGAAGGATGCCTTGTATCTCCGTCGGTAGCAGTGGTAAACGCTTAAGACAAGGAGCAGGACGGAGGTAATGACAGCTAAACAGACTCCAACCAACGCTGCTGTGGACACTGCAAAAAGAGCAAGACGAAATCGTAAATTTTCGGGTAAATGATCTGAAGAACTCTAAAATCGCCAAACAGAAGTGGCGCTTGTAAGTCTGGGGAAAACCACATGGGATGGCTGAGCCATGAGGTAAGGGATTGGTGAGATTTGGACCCTAGGACTGGGTTAGAGTGTGACCAAATACAGATGCACGATGTCAGCATTGCAAATTCCATTGAACATAATTTACAATACACCGTGACTGTTTTTTTTGTTGACGGTCCTCCGATCTGCTTTGCTAACAAAATTATATCAAGCACGTTTACCGTCAAGCAGAGAGACTAGCCAAGGTCGTTTTGTTATGACTTAAGATATGAATACTTAATTGCTAAGGTTACGGCCAATGTTGAGTCAAAGGAGAAACGCGGGTTTCCTGGAGTCGCACCCTCACGCTTCAACCTTGCAGCACGTCATGCAATTTTAACTAAGCCCAGGGTTTTCATATCACGGTTCATTTAGTATTTATTTAACCACGCAGGGAAAGTACCCTCAGAAGAACCACCCAATTTCATATTGTCAGTTTACTGCAGAGCAAGTAAATGAAGTATGTAGAATAAACACTGCCAAAACGACAACTTTCTCGGAAAAAAGGGGCCCACGGCACTCGCAAATCAGATAAAAATACACTGTTTTTGGTAAAAGCTGACACCAACTCTCTGTTTTCCTCCCGTAATGTCTACTCAATAGGAACATTTTATCAAACAGCAGCAATGGAACCCATGAAACCGGGTTTTTTATGCATTGTGTATATTAGAACATCTTATCAGGTTTGATATAATGTGTGAAAGATTTCACTTTAACAGTCACAAACAAAATTTATCCCCTTTTGTTTGCAGGCAACGGGTAGAAACAAATTAGCAACCAAAATGTGCCACGCTGTTGAAGAAACAAATTGCACCATTTGCCATTTGCGTTTATACCCCCCAAATGCCATAAAACACTTCCAGGCCCACGATATTATACAGACAGTGTTAATTGCCCCCAAACCAAATAAAGTCTTCATCCGTATCACCGCTGACATTCTAGAAACCACTGAGCATTTTGTAGATTTCTGTTTCATTTCTGCGTCAGCGTCAAGATGTAGGTTATAAATTATAGCAAAGAGCACTTGCAACAAGCAAAGTCCACTTGGAGGGTTTCGAGTATGGCGTCAGTTGGTCCGTGAATGTGCCGTTTACAGGCCAGATACACTGCCTTCATCCATGCTACAGTCATGGGGGGGGGTAGACAGCTAACAAGGAGGCGTGCCCTTATAAAGGGATTTCACATTAGCGCCGTCTGCGCATATATGCATCGAAACCGAGGCTCTCTCTGTTGAACTTCATCGCGCGCGCCGGCGGAGTCGACACAGTACATGTAGTATCCCTTTCGTAAGTGTGACACCACTTCAGATTAAACCACGCCCACTGCACAAGGTACACGACAATCGCAGGCACGCTAGTTCGCAGTAAATTGTCGTTATTTTTTCTTGTGATTTTACGTGTCGAGTCATCCTGAAAGACTCTTCCACAAAAATTTGCAGCCTGAAAAGTCTGAATTTAACATACCTTTATGTATTTTGTGTCTTGACTCCTTGCTTTCAATCGTCTGATCGTATTAAGAATTGAAACTGACACGTACAGCCTCGTTTTCAAACACGGAAGTGCGCAGATCGACGCTAAAAGCGTCGTATTGGAATCCCTCGGTAATAAGAACACAGAAGGTCAATGTTCAGAATTACGTGGCTGTTCTGTTTATATACACTTCATAAATCCATATTTGTGCAAATTCAATATCCTCGGTCATGTGTTAACACTACAAAGACATTTTCGAAAAGTGATATGTCGTTTTATGAAAAAATTAACTGATACAGAAAAGTGAACAGACAAACATGAACGGAAATAATCTTGAAATCATTAAAATACTCTTCACGAAAGCCATTCAATTATTAACAGTTTGATCACTTTGGCACCTAAACCAAAAATACATATAGTGTAGCCGATTCTATCGGATTCATTGCACTCTACTCTTGTCTCCAAGTTAAAAAAATTTAAACATAAGACAACGATCAAAGGATTGAATCGCTTCAATTTTTCATATGACTGTCAATGCCTCCATCAGACTTTGAGAGAAGCGCATCCTTCACGCTTGCTTTTCCTTTTCTTGTCTTTCTTTCTTTTTTTCCTTTTACCCGATGAATAAACTCGACTGTCTTGAAAGAGAGCCTCCGCTGTGATGCTTATTTCGCATAATTTCTCCCTTGAGCGAGCGCACCTTTGGCTGTCATCCCTAGACCATTTTCTTATTCATTGCCCCGTCGCCTCGCCCCCTCTCCCCATTATTTCTATATTTTCGGGCTTGAGTGGTGTTCTGGCAACCGCGGCAGCTGCATGTTGCGCATTTTTGAAGGCAGACTGTGCCGCTGGCTGTAGCGGTATTGCAGAGGGGGACAAAATCCGCGCTCATTTTTTGCGCGCTCTGACGCTGCTATAATAATCGTGTTTGTCAGCCAAAGTACGTGTAGCTAGGGGCACTAAATTATTGTTCACAGTTCCTGGCCGGGACTGGTTGTACATTTTGCTCTTTGCAAAGAAAGATGGTTCTAAAAGACGGAGCATAAACCACGACGAATACTTGTGTCCCAGATTAATTGCACTCTAAAAAAAATTCCTTCTGAAAAAGAACTCTAAAGCTGTCGATAATCAGTACTGTCTAGGTTTGCCTTTAAAAAAGATTTCAATAGGCGATCGCAGAGCTTCATGTTTTTTCTGTTAACCTCTATTTTAATACCGACAGAATATCAAAATATACGTAACATCTAAGAATTACAATCACTAGATCTTATCAAATGTCCCTAGAGGATTAATGGTAAAACAATTTAGAAACTGAGCTACAGATGCTGAAGTTGTTATCTCCTGGTCAAATCAACAATTATTGAAATATTGAGACGACCTCTGATTCTACAGGGAAACTGCTGGAACAGAAAAGCCAATATCACCACAAGTACTCTACTGTCGAAGCCTGAAAGGATCGATTCTTCATCGAATCTCCACAAAATCTCAAATTTCAATCCTAAAAGGTGGTATTCGAGCACTTTTTAACACTGTGACAACATGTTACAAATTATGTGAGAAATCTGACGGAATCAAACTTAAGAGAAGAATGCAGGGAGCACTGCACTCTTCCCTTTATCTGACATTTACAAATCCAATGCATTTATGCTCTGAATGAGCCCTTTCATTGTCAAGTGTTCGGTAACCATGAGTTACAATAACACCCTATGTGAAATTATCACACATCCAAGTTGGTTGTGCATGTGATGCTCAAACTTATTTTTACTCAAACCCAAAGACAACGTGAATAATGGGTGAAAAGAATGATAAATACCGCATGTGCGGGTATATGAACTTACACAATCTAATAGAGTACAGTTTGCTCTTCCACAAAACCTGAGTTAGTTCTGGTGCCGGTAAAAATTGGTAACAGAAATTCTGAAGTGTCAATAGTAAGAATATTATTTTCTTCTGGAACATTTGCCGCATATTCCAGGTTCAAGTACTGCACATATTGAAAAATTCTGTTGTGGATAAAGTGGAAAGAAATCTAGTTGTAGATTAATGTTTTGTTGTAGATTAGGAAAGGCTATCTGCAGTGGAAACAGCGCACCACTCTGACAAATCTTGACTGGTTTTTAATAATCGTCGCGTTGTTGTGTGCTCAGCCGTTAAACCGCACATCAGTTGAAGATATCTCTTGGAGTGCGCTACCGCGAACACGCTCGCTTAGCAACTGTCACTAAGACGTATGTATGACGCCGATGTGACGTCATTTACTTGGCAAACCGCTGAGTCGTGTGAACGAGAAAATTCTTGGTTGGCAGGTTTGAGTAAAAATAGCATTTAAAAAATGTGTGTCTATACCCATCGAGAGTTGAATAAAATCTTATTCAGTAGCTGGTTTGTATTTTTATCAATCTTCACCATTACCGTCATTAGGAAACCTTAATGAAGAATTCGAATTAATTTCATCAAAAAATTGAGAAGTCTTTCAATAAAAAACAAATTGGAAGCATTCTATTTTATAACGGAAGAAAAAGCCAATAAATTTTATTGATTCACTTCACTCAAGAACCAACACTCTCTATTAATGTGTTCCAAAACAGTCCATTCTTTTCATGTTTATTCAACGCGAAATCTCTCCCCGTAAAAGCCCGCTCAAACACTCATCAACAATCTGTTTCAAAAACAGCCACCAAAAGGTATCGCCTCCGGGGTCAAGGGTTTCAGAAAATCGCCTCTCTAAATGGCTAGTTAAGACCCGAGCCCTTAGCATTTAGAGCAGATGTTAATCATTGCAGGGTTCCTACAGGTTTTTCAGAGCTTATTGAGTGTCCACAGTACGCGTTGAGGGAGTTCATAAGTTACATACAGCGCACTCTGGACAATCGATGGCCACATCATTACAGTGCAGCCTCGGCACACCTCACCTACGTATGGCGATGGCAGTTAAAATATGCAAATATCTATTTTTGCAAATGTCGGTAGAACGCTCGATTCGAATGACCGTAATTTAATCAAAGTTTTCTTTCTTCGTGTATGAACACTGGATAATTTTCGCATTGCATTGTGATTCATAAGTATGCAAAATCGAAGAAAAATCGATTACATATTTATTGTCAAACAATGCAACTTCTTTGCAAACAAATGAAACTTCTGGGGAAAAGTATCAAGCAAGACTTTAAGAGACAATGATTTTGAATACAAATGACAGCATCATGGAAATATTCAGCTCTGAAAAAGCTCAAAAAGCCACTAAACTGATTGTATGACACACAACCTGACAGCCACAAACATTTGGTAGAACATTTTAGCTTTAAATTTACAGTTTACACTACACTTCATCGATTTTACTCTTGAAACTTACAAGTCCGAATTTTATGAAATTTCGCCAACAAAGGAAAAGTACTTGACTAATTTTCAGATCAAAA